CGAAGATCCGGCGGGGGGGGGGGAAAGTCTCTATTCTTCAAAGAGCCTGATGCTGCTGTAAGCAGGCTTTTCAAAAGTTAAAAGAAGACAGAAGAGAATTCTTCATCACCTTATGTATTTTAGAAAGTAAGGGGCACCCCTTTCTGGGAAAGGACAACTGCTTGCTCAACTTTGCTCTGGTTAACATTTATTCCCCTCTGGATTAGGTGGTAGTGAAATATTCAGCTTCTCTCCCAGCAGGTCCTATGGGAGGTGTTAAAAAAAAAAAAAGGCTAATTATTAAGGCAGTAACAGGGATTAACAGGGATTCTACAAGCTCTTAAACAAAGAAAACACTTGCTACCTGCTACTTTGAGCTGAAAACGTATGATGGATTAAATCTGGGCTTTGTGATATGCCAAGCAAGTCATCTAATCACACTGAATCATGATCAGATGACACAGACAAATTCTGTTTGGCCCACACTCAGTTTGACTTGCTGACACATTTCAGGCCTTAAAATGAAGACTGCATGTTTTAATGGCCTAATCAACTGAATTTTAATTAACTGCTGACTATATTTGATGAAGATGTGACTACAGATGGAAATTAGTGAAGATGTGATAATAAACAACTCTGGGATACAAATCTCCTAATTCCATTCTGCCCAACACATGGATTAACTAGTTCTCTGAAACAGAACTCTGGAAGAGAACATTCTTGATTCCCAACTTCTAAAATTTTTAATGCTAGACTTCCCTGCCAAGAACAAACAACAGCTTGGAATTATTAGCAAAGCAATCCTGGTTGTGGCTGATGGAAACTGTGAGGCTGAACATTCTCAAGAATCAAAGCTTTGCTGGGCTCATGATAGCCCAATAAGAAAGAAAAAAAAGAACCACGATTCTTCTCTCCCAGGGTACCAGGAGGTATTTACTTCTTCCAATTTCTCCCCCACTAATATTTAGGTACAGAACCTACAACATTAGCTGTTAAATTCTTGCCACGTTGCTTTTCCTTCCTCTCCAACAGCAGAGTTTCACATCTGGAACACAACATCATGGAAGTCTGGCAAGCTTCCAGTTTGGATTGTCACCTTATAAGGGCAGACCATTTTCTCCATCATTGGAAGTGGAAATGTAACAATTGCTAGGGATCTCATCTCTCCCAGGGATGAGGCAATTGCAGCTTAAATAAAAGTTTATATTCCTTCAGAGAGGTATTCTCATCAAACATGCAATCATTGCATTTCAATTTAATGAATTAATTAACCAGCCCAAACCCAGATAGCTCACTGAAAATCATAATAATCCCAGTTGTTATGGCACTGAATAATTTTAACCAGAGGCAATTATTTCTGGATAAATGAACCATCAATATTATTTGATGGTAAGAGCACATCATCAGCTTCAGTTCTCATAGATTCACAGTGGCTATTCTGCCCTGCAGCTGTCTGTTCTAGAAAGTGCTGTTTCTGACAAGAACGCACAGCTAGTCAGTTTCTTGCAATGTGGATTGATTAAAAGACCAAACAAATTTGCTTCTCCTTTTGAACCAGCCCCATTAAGAGATATATATCATTAGCAGCAAGAGGCACACGTTGAACTGTTGCGACATACCTGCAATTTCATACCAGATACCAAGGAACCCAAATCCTGCTGTGCTGTTTGAGATCTGAGCTTGCCTTAAGAGCCAAGGTAAGCCAACTTCCCATCACGGATATGTCAGCTCATTCAAAAGCTGCTTATCTTCATGAGTGCTGTTTGATAATGCCTTGTAAGCTTTGCCCAAGGGCCTATTTTTCAAACACAAGCTTCAGTTAACATTTAGCATGTCCCACCATAATAGAAAAAGCAACTCACAGGTACCACTTGTGAAGTCTTTATGATTAATAAAAAAAGGAAATCAAAGTATTCATGTAGTTCCTTAGATACAGAATGATTCATTTACCATTCAGACTTGCTCTGGCAGATACAGTAGATTCAAAAGGCAGCCTTTTCTTTGCTTCACCATACTAGCATGGGTAAATGTAAACTCTGGAACCCAGTTAATAAAATTAGAACAACTCTTGAGTTTCTGCCTATCAATCTCTTCTTCTTATCCCAAAGCTGCATTCAGTACATTCAGTTTGCCTTTTGTTTATTAGCTCCAGGCTGACTAAAGCAACACAAAGCCTTATGGATGAGGCAAAGGACCATTTAGCCCAGCCTTCTGTGTCACACAGTAGACAATCAGATGCATCTGAAAAGCTCACAAGCATGGACTCTTCCACCCTTACTCCCCAACAACTGGCCTTTACAGCATAGATTATGGGGGGCACCCTAGAGCCATCAAAACCTTGAGAGGCCTTGATTCAACTTGCATATCACATTAAGCCATGAGTTGCTTCAGTACTGTTTATGAATAGGCTGGATTCCCATAATATGGTAGTCCCTAAACTATCATTCAGAAACTAGAAGGACTGTGTTTGCAAACCATGCTGAACTGAGGGCTAAGAAACCACATTATATATATATATTGCAATAAAGAAAGCCAGTCATATACTTCATATCTTAAACACCTGTCACATCAGAAGATAGAAGAGATGTAGTAAAGACTAGCTAAAAGCAGGACATGTGTAGGGAAAAGGGCTACTTCCTACTAAAGGCAAGGCTATAAAGAAACTTGGCTCCTTTGTTTGGTGTTTTGTCCTGAGCTGGCTTACTGCATCTTTCCACATGATTATATCCACATGTGTTTGAACTGTAGTTATCACATTTCCTTTGACTATGTTGGTAAGGATTCCTGATTTTGTGGTCTTAACAAACTGGGGAGCACTGTACTAGGCCAATCTAAAGCAGAAAACTGAGCAAGTTAGTCAAGTCCTTTTATAACCTTACTCTTTCTGGGTAGCCTGCTTCCCCACACTTATCTGGCGTCTAATTAGTCAGGTGCATACTAAGATTTTAAAGATTGCAGTACCATTGTCAACCCAAAGCAACCTTGTGCAAGATTTAGCTTTTTCATTCAAGCAATTTGTCACCCAAAGGGTGGATGATGGCTTTTCGCAAAACCCATGATGATTTCATTTGCTTTTGTGCAAACTTCCCAATGGACTCTGGAAGCTGGAATAACTTTCAAAAGAAGAAAGCCAACACATATTATCTGTTGCGGAGCTAAAGTCTTTTGGGCACTAATTTACGAATTAATTTAAATGTATGTCCCTGTTTAACCGGGAGCAGGAACAGGCAAAAGTTTGGGCTGCCATGATGGACATGGCCATTGTAAAATACCTATTGCTCTCCAGTAATCCTTCTATTCTCATAGGATACTATCAGCTTTTGCTCCCAGTTAACTTTTGACTTTCCTGGACAGAAGGGCACATTTCAAAAGCACTGAGCTAAGGATGCCTCTGGCTTTACATGGAATCCAAAGACTTCCTTGTAAACAAATATTATGCTGGACACTGGCATTTCAAAATACCTCTAATCTCTACCTTCCTTGATTAGAAACTAATTATGGGTTTAGCAACCATACAAAGGGATGTATCATAATATCCTCCATTCTCAACAAAACAATAGGAAGGTGTCAAATGCAGGAATAGTAATGAAACCTGTCTGTTGATGCCAAACAATTTCTAATACAAAGTCTTCCTTTGGGCAATCTTCAGCACAACCCACTTAAGTCTTAATATCTCTCGGGACCCCCACCCACCTCTCCAAATTCAAAATGCACTGGGCCCCAAAGAGAAGTTTTTTCTTACAAACTTCAGCTGAAAGAAAATGGCAGGCTTTGTGGGCAGCTGGCAGCTACATTACATGTGTACCTTGATTGTTGAGTCTCCATGTTGGCTGAACAAGGGAAACGTCTTTTGTCCCTCACCTCTGCTCTGTATCCTAGCAAGTGCAAATTGATTTTACAGATGTGTGAGCCATCTCTTGCTACTCCATAGCAAAAATACCTCTGTCTAACTGCCACACAGACCGAAAGCTCCATGGAAAACAAGTGACAGCAGCAGAGCAATATTGGTTAGTGAGAAAATGGTCCTCTGGAAAAGCACCTGAACTGCTCACCTGCCGGATCCCCAGGTGGTAGGTGAGGATGCGGTCCACAGCATCAGGATTCATCTGGGTCCATTCCAGGCTGTAGGCATACACACGGGCTCTGTTCTGCCACAACGGATTGTAGGTGTCATAGTAGAATTCTGGAGCATATGCTTTGCCTGCAGGAAATAAATTGGATGTACAAACATAAGTCAAGAGAGGAAGCAAACAACAACAAACAAGCACACTTTTTTTTTCAAGTTATATGTTGAATTACTGCTGATGCTCTCTCTAACTGTTCTTGCTTTGCCTTTGCCTGAATTTCTGAAGCTGATTCTACATTTCAATATTCAATAAAAACAAATTAAATAGTCACAAAACAATATTCTCTTGCCAATTTCACCATGTAAAAATACTAGAAAAGTCCTGAGGTGGGATGAGGCCAACTGCCTACCTAGTCCATCTTCTGCGTCACACGGTCAGCCAGATACATTTAGGAATCTCATAATGCATCAGCAGAAAGTAATCATCCTTTCCCATTGTTGCTTCCTAGCAGATGATATTTATACGTATACAGCCTACAATTCAGAAGGCAGCAAACAGCCATCAAAACTAGTAGCCATGGGTAGTCTGATCTTTGCTGAATTTGTCCAGTTCTTTTTAAAAACCTTCTAAATTGATAATCAACACCTTATCATATGGAAACCAATCAAACAAATGGTAGCAAATCCATAGTAGCACCAGGTAACATCAGGCAGTAGGCAAAGTACACCAGGAATTCATCAACCAAGAGCCTGTTTTCTCAAATTTAGGGGTGGTGCTAAAGAAATGACTCCATAGTGTAATCCTGTGACTGGATGATAAGAAAACATGGGGTATGCATGAGTTGGAAGATAAGTGAGTGGACAATGCAGTAACAATGGGTAAATGAGAAGGAGCCAGATGTAGAGGGCATAGAGAATGGCTTTGCAAGACAGTGGGAAGATCCATTACCAAAGCAATGATCAGACAAATGCAGCTTAAGCCCAGTCCAAGAAACAAACTTGAGAAAATGCCTCAGACAGGTCCCTCCCTAATTCACACAAAGATGAAGTGAGGGAGGAGAGAAACCCATGCAGACTTGCAAGATTCTGTAACTATAGCTGTTCTAGTAAAAGTAGTTTTAGACTTATATGGCATTGGTTTCTTGGTCTACCCTACAGGACTGACAACAAGGAAGATGGGCTGATAGTCAAAGCAGCTGTCGTGGTGGCAGAAGAAGAATGGGAAAGATGGATAAAGTAGAAGAAAGAAGGGTGCAGGAATATAAGAAAGGGTCAGTGGGGAACCATATCTAGTGATGCCAGAATTCAGTGGCAAATTTTGGGGAGGGGGCTCTAGAGGCTGCAACTAAGCTATTTGGAAGTTCATGAGCCATGAGTCTTTGCCAGATTTTACAGTACAAAAACTGCTGCTGGATGATACAATTTTGCTCACGCAATCGATACAGTCTAGAATCAGTGCTAGACTACAGAGGAATATTGGATGGACGTTTGGTGAAGAGAATTTGTGAATTTGAAGGGGCTTGGGAATGCATTTTCAAACTTTTACACAGCCACTCTATATTGATTGATTGATTGATTGATTGATTGTTCTGGTAGGCCTATTGACTGAAAAGAAAGATAAGCATGTTATCAATCAATCAATGAAAAAAGAGATCATGTTCTCTACAGCTTACAACCTAAAACGCATGTCAGGAAAGGAAAAAAGGAATGTAGAAGGAAGAAAACAGAAGCAGATTCAGCACCCGTTATTGGAAGTTAAACACCAGACATTATAAAAGGGTCTGCTAAATATAGTTCAGAAAAGGTAGAGATTAATGACATGGTGTGTTTCCCATTTCCCTGCTTTGAACTGACAGGTCTCTGTCCTGTTTAAACTTGATTTCATATGCCATTTGATGGAAGGCTTAAAGGGTACAGCTTTTAGGAAACTAGAGTAACTTTTATTTTATCTGTTAAAAAAAAATCAGAATAGACACAAAAAATTCTGTCTCTTGCGTAAGTAAGTCCAGTACCACCTAATGACTAAACTACATGATGGCACTACCCACCTTAGTGGGAGGAGGAAACAACAGTCCTGAAGTTACTCTGTCTCCCAATTTTCCTTTCTTAGTTGTTACCTGTCATCATCTCCTTGGCTGACTAAATTAAAGGAAATATTGTGAAGTTTATTTACAGAAGTAGTTGCCTAGATTTCAGAAAGAGCGCTTTTAAATGAATTTGGATTTGGATTTGCTCAGAGTAAAGCCAAAATATTCCCCAGCTTGGAGGAAGACCTTGAGATGTTTTCAGTTCACTTTCACAAAAGAAATCAAGGATCATCAGCTTAAACTCCTCCTTCAAAGCTCACTTATCATCTTGGCCAACTAGTTGTATTGTGCTCAGTGATTTTTGGTTGCCATATGAGAAGTTGTATCCCTGAGACAGAATGTTCTTGGGAATGATATTATGTGTATTTATTAACTTTACATTCTCCTTTCCTTCAAGAGCTCAAGGCATTCTATAGAATGCTCCTTCCCAATTTTTCCCCACAGCAATAAACCTAACAGATACTGATACTCAAGGTCAGCCAGTGAGCTTCCACAGCTCAGGATGAACTTGAACCTGGTCTCCTTGGCCACAGTTCAACACCTTAACTATTTAGACTATATGATCTGTCAATATTGTTGCATAATGTCATTCCTAGAAGGATCCTTGTGGAAAAATGTGGGCAGGTATTTTTAAAAATTTTTTTAAACCTAAGAATAATATCATTTGAGGGGTATTCCATAGCAAGCATTTAGTTGAAATAGCCAAACTTGAAGCAATTTTGAGGTTTTTACTGTTATTCTTTAAAATAAGAGAGCCAGTTTAGTGTAGTGGTTAGGGTGCTGGTCTAGAAACCAGGAGACTATGAATTCTAATCCTGATTTAGGCATGAAAAACCAGCTGGGTGACTTTGGGCCAGCCACTCTCTCACAGCCCAACTCACCTCACAGGGTTGTTGTTGTGGGGAAAATAGAAGGAGGAAGGAGTACTGGTATGTTTGCTGCCTTGACTTGTATATGAAAGGAAAGGTGGGATTAAAATCTAAAAAAAGAAAAAGAAAAAATCCTCTGGCCATTTTGTATCTCAAGGGTAGCAAAAATATTCAGACCCCCACTGAAAATAGCTGAACATCCCTTTAGAATTTCAGGGGAGATAAATGGTTCCATGCAACGTGTGATGAAAATACACAAGTTGGCGTGAGATATATGGGTGGATACCTAAGCCGCCTTTGGATGAATAGCAACATTTCAGAACATCATGAAATATTTCGATATATGGACATCAGAACTTTTCTTCTATCAGGAAACTCTGCCTCTGATGTGAAAACATTGCAGCCACGCTTGGCCTTGAATGGAGACACGCCTGGCCATTTGTCAGCACAGGCAGGAGAACTTCAATTGCTATTTGGCTCAGAAGATATCTTATCTCTCTCTGGCATCTCATATTGATGATGAATGTGCAGTCTCCACAGGGCAAAGGGGAAAAAGCATCACATTGCTCAAGTAACGAAGCCCTTACCTGAACTGTCATCAGGAGAATCAATAGGGAACAAAGTTGGTTGTGTTCAACAGAGTAATGCAAATAAAAGGGGGTTGTGGGGAGAGAGAAATCTACATTTCTAAAAGAACCAGGAAACAGGAAAGTGTTAGATTCAATGATATGAGTAAAGATCTCAAGCCCAACATTCTGTTTTTCATAATGCACATTCTGCTCACTTTTGAACCAGTAACATGATCATGTAAATATTACACCAATTTCTCACTGCCAGATTAAATAGGATAGCTCAAATATTTCTGAGCTACAGAGCAAGCATCTACATAGCACTGCTACTGGTCCCTTTTCCCTCTTTCTCTTTTCACTAACAAGTTTTCAGGTGAGAGCTCTAAGGATGCTGACCCAAATGGATTTCTAAAATGGGAAACTTGTCCACCACAGATATTCTAGATGGAGCTAGAGGGATTTATTTGGAATAGAAAGTTCAGTTGATGTTTGCTTTCCCTGCTTAAAAAACAAATACAAACAAAAAATCCCAAATCACATGGCAATTTCAAGTAAAAGTGGATAAACATACCTTTTCACAGAACGTAGCCTTGTTGTATAATTGTGTGGGATTTTTAAAAATGTTCTTGAAAAATGAGTCCTCTTTGAACATTTATAAAATTTAGAAAGGAAGTGTAAGCTTTATCTACCCCCTGAGTCCAATTTGGCAATTTCTCCTACAGGTTTTTAAATAAACAATAGGAATGGAAATTTGTCAGACTGGAAATCAGACCATCTGTCCTCCAAAGTGGATGGTTAAATGAAACGGAGCTCCAATTCCACAGGGATTACCTTTCAAAGCAGACTGAGGAAGAGACTTGGCAAGGGCCATTCCTTCCTTCCTTCCTTCCTTCCTTCCTTCCTTCCTTCCTTCCTTCCTCCTCCCTCCCTCCCTTCCTTCCTTCCTTCCTTCCTTATGGTTGACCTGTAGCAACCTCCTCCAAGATTAGAGGACACTTGCAGAGGACACTTGAAGAAAGAGAACCTCCTGCTGCATGAGCTGACTGTGCAGTCTTGGGGGCTTCTGATACTCTACTTTATGGTTAGTGTTTCCAACAGATCATTTCCACCTCTGCAAGGTCTAGGGGCAAAATATGTTTTTGAACTTCCCTCTGCCTTTTCTTCTTGCTGTATCGTACAGTATATCAATGGAATGTTTCACTCCATTGATTTTGGTCCATCAGTGGGGAAATAAACAAGATATATTAAATAACTTTTATTGCCTTGAATGAAAAGCATATTCCACCAATACCGAACAGTTTTTTGGATGGGGCTCCCCACATGCATAAGGCCTGGAACAATAATAGCCAAGCCTGAGCCCATTAAATGTTAGTGACAGCTCTACCTGTAATGTTGATTCACATCTCCCCATCTTACAAACCTTTGGCTTTTTTCTTTCTACTTTAGATAGTGATATCCATAACATGTACTTTGGAGTGATTGAAAATACTTCATGCCTGCATGCTACTTCCCCCCAAAAAACTTGCTAGGTAGATCACTGCTGTTGTACCCCAGTGTAGACAGAGACCTGAGGCTGGAGGACAGGAAGAGTCACTTTCAATGATGTATCA